GGCAGCGCAGCCGGCGAGGGAAACAGGCCCCGTCACCCACTGCGCTGGCCCCGGCGCCTTCCGCTTAACACTGCCTCTCCAAACACCCGCTCCCCTTTCCAGCGGGACTCCTAACGCAAATATTTATTCCTCCAAGCCAGCTCATGCTTTTATAAAAGGGAAAATATGCAGCCTCACCAGGAGCGGGGGGAAAACTGCAGCCACTTCCCTCCCAGCGCCATCGCTGGGAGCAGCAGCCCAAGGAAGCGCCCCTGCAGTCAGGTTTCAGCTCCTGCTACTGTCTGCCCTTCGCTGGGCACCTTGAGCACGGGTGAAGGGCAGCACGGAGGCCAAAACAGGAGCTACAGTGTTCCCAAGCCGTGGCTATGCACAGATCTTGCATGGGGACAGTGACCCACTGTTTAGGAAGCACTGGATGTGGCACAAGGATGGCCACAGCAAGCACGGGCTGCGCTGGCACACTCTCCTCAGGCAGTGCCATTTGTGACAGTCCCTGCTGCTATAATTAACAGTGGCTGGTGAGGCAGATGAGTACAAGCAGCCTACACACTTAGCAAAGAAACGAGTTTTTCTGGGAAAAATGGGGGAGTGAGGGCAGAATCTAAGTGCCCCCGTCTGTGTGTACAGCCTCTGCTGCTCTTGGGGTCGCCACGTGGTCCTTCCTTCCAGAGCCAAGGGGAGGCTTTTCCATGGAAGCAGCTACTTCCCGCCCCCTTCCATCTTCTCCTGCCACCTCTGGAGTGGTCCGGCTTTGCAAGAAGGGACTAGGACCTCTGGGAATGGCAATGCAAGGACGTTATCCATGATAAAACTGAGATGGGGAAATGCAGACCGGCTGGTTGCAGAGGGAGCCTGGGCCAGGATAAGAGACTGCACAGCAGATAAGGCCCAAAACACTGATGAGAATCCAACCTGAACAAACATTTCCTCTGTTTGTTAGCGCTAAAACCCTTTTCAATCCATATTTGTGAGACAGAGCAGGGATAGAGCCCAAGGTAGTAGGAAGATGTTCAAGGACTTAAATTTCTAAGAAACCTTTTATTTGGCACCATCAATGCTAACTCCAACAAGGAGCTCGTTCCTTTCTTCCCCTCCTGAGAAAAGGCCGGAGAGGGGAGCTCTGCGGGCATCCCGCACTAAGCTGCGCTTGGAGGCGGGGGCCATTTCCAGCACAAGGAAATGGGGTTTCTTGGGAATGCAGGGGTGTGGAAAGCACAGCCTGCAGCTTGCAGAAGTCTGCTGCAAAGCAGTCATTAAAAAAAAAAAAAAAAAAAAAAAAAAGCCTGTTAGTAGAAGCAGACTGACCACAAAACTTTCATTGAAAAGGCTTCCGTGTAAACAGCTGGACCGAAGGCTGGAATGCCCCGAGCTTCCTGGCCTGGGGAGGAGCGTCTGTAGGAGGTGCTCAGGTGAGTAGCAGGGTCTGCATCTGCGAGGCCTGAGCACTGTCCCTGGGTAGCGACTCGCCAAAGGCTCTAACAGCAACAGGGGCAGAAGCTAAATCAGGAACCCTGCAGTTTGGACAGATTATTCCTCCCCACAAGGGGCAACCGCCTTAAAGAACCAGACAATCCTGTTGAAGCCCCTCACCAAAGTGAGCATCCTACCAAAATAAAGCAGAGAACAAAACTAAAACATTCCACTTCCAGGCCCTTTTAAACAAAGCCATCCAACAACTCCCTTGCCCCCAATGCTCAGGGAGCACAAGTGACAGTGGGGACACCAGGTAACTCCTCGCCCTCTCCTTACCCAGCCAGGTGTTACAATAACCTAATTCTCCATCTGGCTCCCGGCTTCATCCTTGGGAGAGTTTGCTGGCTGCAGAGTGGACAAGTGCTCCAGCTCGTACCGCCCGTTCCTCGCAGCCTCTTCAGCACTCTTCCCTGCTGCCAGCTCTTTGCTCCTCTTGTGCTCCATGATCTGCTGGAGCTGGTGCCCAGCGTAGTCCGGCTTGGCAGTGAGCAGGGTGGGAGGCACGTCGAGCCCCAGGATGTCAGGGAGCATGTAGGGCCGGAGCCAGCCCACGAGCGGGGTGCTGCCCGGCATGTAGTGGGTTTGCTTGTGATAGAAAAGGAGCCCATCAACCTGTGGAAAGGACAGAGGCAGCAAATAAAGGACCAGAGCTGGAGCCTTTTGCAGGTGACAAGAGAAGGCCAAATGACAGCACTGCTTTTAGCTCACAGGTCAACCTACCGGCTGGAGCATTTTTTCCCCTCAAGCAGCACAATAAAGAAGACAGCAGAAACCTGCACAGTTCCCAGCCTCAAAAACCAGTGCGAGTTCTGCACAAGTCTGACGGCTGCTGGGTGGCCTTAGCCCACTGGAGGCAAGCGCTTTCAGGCAGATGACAGCATCAGTGTTTCCTGCCTGGTTGCTGTGATCCCATTCTTCAGAAAAGCCATCGGGTTTCCGAAGAAAGCAGCGCACAAAAAGGCCATTTTAGTGGATTAAGATTATTCTAAATAATACATTTGGAAAGCAATTAGCCAGATTGTGTGACGCCAAGGAGCCCCAATCCCTACCACTGCTACGGCTCTTTCAGCTTGCTTATGCAAAACAAATTCTTAATGCTTCTCAAGAGAGAACTTCCCCAGCAATCAATGACAGTTAAGGGCACTCAGGCCGGAGAAGGTTTACCCCCTAATTCTTGTGCTGCTATTTACGCCCTGCTGCAGCTGGCTGATGTTTTCCCCATTTCCCCTCCGCTCTAAAGGATTTTCGGCTCTCTCTTCCTGTGCTTCCCACGGGGGTGCTCCGCAAGGCTGGACCCTGCTTGTGACATCCAAGGAGGTGCTCTTTCCAGTACAGCCTCATGAACACAAGATGCACAGTGGGTCAGTACCTACATATCCACTCAGGAATGAGTGACTGAATCAGCTTGAACCGCAAATCAAGGCGATTTCTGCTACAGTGCTGGGCTGTGAACCAGGCTGAGCAACAGGAAGGCACAAGTCCATTTTTGCTAAGGGGATGCTCAACTCCAGCAAAGCGGGTAGGGCTTTTGATCACGGTTAAGTTCTTGCAAAACAATCCCAGAAAAAGGGGGATTCCCATCTTAGGAAAACATGAAACCAGCACAGTAAACATCAGGAGCTTGTGTAACATGTAGCCCTCTGGATATCTAGAGTACAAAGCTTCCCAGTGCCTCCCTGCAGGGCTTGGAAAAGGCCAGATTCTGCTTTGCCCCCCTGCCAAACCGTCACCCTGTGTAGGGCTTGCACATCCAACACATTCCAGCTGTGGCACAATGCTGGATGAGCAAGAGGGATTCCTCAGCACCCACAGGAGTCTGAGTAGCATCAAAGCCTGGAAAAGCTTCTATCTTCTACTCTCTCCAAACATTTTCTGCAAGCTGGGGAAGTCAATGGCGTTCAGCCTGGCAAAGAGTTGGGTCATGTCCTTCCTTCTCATGGTTTCCCTTAAGATACTGCAGTTCCCATATTCCCTCCAGTTTATTTAATTTGCTTGCCATGTCCCTGCCTGGCGTCACTGTACCGGCACTAGCCGCATCACAATAAAAGCTGATACTGTCTCTTACAGCTGAACCCAATGAGAAACCGGCTTGGCAGGATTTGCACTCTTCGTGACTACGCTTTTCAGATTTTAGATCCTTAAAGATACTCCCATTCCTTGATAGGGCAGCTTCTCTGAAATTTTGGCTCTGTGAGCTTCCAATAACACCTGAATGTTATTTTAGGTCTGTGAGAAGGTCAGTAACTCTTAAGATCTACTCCAAAACCCCCTTAAAACTGAGTGTCAGTCAACTGACCCAAAGTCCGATCAACTCGGTGGAAAAATCTGCCACTAAATATAGCTGATGAGGGATTAGGTCCCAGCCCTAAGGTTACAGATTAATTCCAGAGACCCAAATTTGAAAATACTGACACATCAGTTGCCATCTCACACACACGAGATCTTCCATTAGGCCAAACAGCAGTGGATCACTCCATGCTGAACGAGCACACTAAATTTTCACAAATTTATTTAGCAGGATTCATCACAAGTTGCTGGGGCCTGTCAAAAAGATGTTTATTACACTGTATTACCTATGGCAAGGTCATACTTTGCCTCTTACAAAGCTTCCTTCTTTCAGTCCCAATCCTATTTATGAGGATTTCTTGGGCTCCCTCTTGTGGCACCTTAAAATGAGACCCAGGTTCAATCTAGTTCTGGAAATACAGCACCCTGCCTCTCTGAGGCCACGGCCCCAGGAAACACCACATTTCGCCTGACAGGATCACACCTTGACCGGAGAACAGCGCGGCGGCAAATCACAGCGGGGTCACAGGCAGAGTTTGCCTGACTCCATCTTCCTCCTTGGGCATTTCGCAACCATCTCCCTTAGCCAGCTGAGACATTTCTGCTCTGACCACAGTGGGATAATACTCCTCAGCCTTTCCTCATGGGAACAGATGCCTCAGGAAGGAAGCTTCCTTCAGGAATGACTATTTCTACAAATACAGTCGGAGGAAAATCCCAAATACCTTCTCAAGAACCCTGCACGCTCCGTTCTGAGGTCAGAGCATGATCTGGCAACGTCGGCAAGATGCTGAGACTTGAACTTTTCTTGAGGACTCTCTCTGCTTTGACGAACAGAAGGCAAACTCAGTCCTTACAGCCAAAACAGCATTACTAGGGTTTAAACCTGACTTACAATGATCTCTAACTTGGGCTACAAGAGCACAAGAGATACCTTTTAATCCAGGTGGCTTTTGGCTTAGCAGGACAAGCAACCTTCGTGAAGGCTTTTCCCAAATTAGTGCTGGAACTGGGCACTCTGCAGGAAGTGCTGCAGCAGCTGGAAAAGCTTCTGGCTCCCAGATGTTTGTCACTGCCATTCTGCTGGAATGTCCCTGTTTCCGCCATCCTCTTCCACTTCAGTGCCAAGTCACCCAGGGTTGCCATCAAAAGCAGCCCCAGCTGCTTTCATTAAGGCATCTGCCTCGCTGCTCACAACCACACGTAGCTGAAGTGGGTGGCACAGCTAGTTCCCTGGCCAGCCTGCCTTCTGCATGGATTGCTGAAGAGTTCTTGCTCCTAAAGCTGACGGCAAATGGACCTGTCCCATTTAGGTACTTTCGCTGCAGGAACGACCATCTTCAAGCCAGAACCAGCCTGACTGAAAGGCAGGAATCTGCTCGTTCTGCACTGAAGCACAGGGAGATTTTGCACTGTCATCTGTGCCACATCCAGTGGCAACAGCCAGACAGACCTGTTTGAATCCATTCCAGCCACTGCTGCAGTGGCCACTGCCCCCAGATCCAGTATGTTCCATGTGTCCATCACTAAAACCTGGAACCCCTCAGAACCTGGCATAAATTCAACACCCATCCTCTTTCCCTCCTGCAAGAGGAGGACAGCTACGCTGTGCAAGCACGTCACACACAGACGGATGAAGTAACTGAGCTGCACCTCCCTCCAGGCATTGGCAGACACACAGCAGGGCTGCCTCCAACCCGAGCTCCGGCCCCAAAGCTGCAGGTTCTCACCTCAAACGGGTAGTCCATAGCCAGCACCTTACAGAGGCTCTCTGACGTGCAGGGGAAATTCTGCAGACCCACAAACTTGTACTGAAAGAGTAGCAGAGGGTTAGAAGAGACACTTCCACAACCAAAACCACAACAATTCACTCTCAGCATCCCATAGTAATCACAGAGACTGGTTATGGGGACGCACACAAACCTCTGATGTGATTCAACAGAGCAAGCCCTGGGTCTGGAGGCAAAAAATGACAGGACTGAGGTGTTCAGCTCTGACAGTCCTATCCTACTAAAATAACAAGAAGCACCTTGTGAAAGCCCGTAGAATAAACATCAGTGTAAGTATGTGAGGGATAGGAACAGCCTGTGGAGAACACCCTTGCCACCTCTCTGGGAATACTGGATAGAGCGTGCACATTGCTCAGTAGAGCAGTTTGAGAACTCTCATTTCAGTAACAGAAGGCGACCTTTAGAGGAAGGCCCCAAGATTGCCAACACCCGGACAGCACGAGACCTAACACACCAGAATGACCCATTTTGAGTATTTTGTGTCTATACCATCCTAGTTACAACTACCCTCTCTGGTACTTTTTGGCATTTAAGAGACACAGGTGGCAGGGACTCAGCTCCCACTTCCTTCTGATACTTTTCCCAAGCATCCGAGGCTGCAGGAAGGCCTTTCCAAGGGAGCTGACCCCGAGAAGTTCCCTTAACCAAAATAGAAAGCGATGACCTGCGGGCAGGATGCGAAGCAGACAGATGTCTGCGCTCAGCTGCCGGCTCAGGCTCACAAACCTTCCCACCCAGGAAATGAGAGCCAAAACAACTCCCCTTTATTAGGTACTCGTTTTCTGGCCATTCCTCTTGGGGTCAAACAGGATGTTCTCCAACTGCCAATAGCTTTGCTGTTGGCACTGCAGCATTTGCTCCCTTAATAGCCCATCTGCTTCACAGTCTGCAGGAGTTGCTCTGTTTCACTGTGCCTGCACACACAGTGCAGCCACACAGAGATGAAGAAATCTGACTTCCATCTCTATTAATTCAATGGCTGGTTTAAGCAGGAGGGAAGGCTAAAGGCTTTATGATCCTTGAGCTCTGTTTTGGGAGCCCGACAGACTCCCACAGGATAATTCCCATCATAGTCAGGCTGCCCATCAAGGTTGTCTGCAGAAACCACACTTGTTTTCCATTCCTCTTCAAGGGGAAGCTGAAGACAGCACAAAAAGAGCTGATACCCTGCACTCTGATCCCCCTCAGCACTTTGGGCTGGTTTAAAAAAAAAAAAAAAAAAAAAAAAGGGCAAAAAAGAACTCCACCACATCTCATTTACAGTGTTCAGTGTTTCTATTCACATCTTGAACAGGGTATCCTATTTCAGCACAAGCACAATTCTAGGACTGACCTTCAAGATAGAAAAAGGCTTCCCCTTGTGAACAAGGGTGCTGAAGCCAGCTGAACAGGACAGCTTACCCGACTCAGAACAAAAACTTACTGGATTAATCTTGCTTTTCTCTCCTAGCCCTTCCTCCTCTTGGATCTTTGAGAGGAGCCAGAAGAATCTGAAGTCAGTCTGGGGAAAGGAGAGGAAGACTTAGTGAGTGTTCACCATGCACCCCTAACCTGCACATGGGCTCTCACAGACTTTGAGTGCCCGCAGAGGCAGCTTGGTTTCCTCCATTCCTCTGGGCTTGCCCAGTAGATTGAGGAACTCGGCTCTACCCTGCAGAACCAACAAGCATCCCAAGCTCTGCTACCTCCCCTGCTATCCCCAAAGGATTTGCCCAGCTGTTCTACTAACCACTGCCCCACAAGCTGCAGAGAGGCCAGCGTTTACGCTGAAGATCCTTCCTACTGCATGATGGGCTGCATCCAGCTCACCGACCAGGTGGCAACAGAGAGGCCAGGGCACGTGGGAGGGGGTCAGTACCTGGCAGTCATAAACAGGGTGTCCCCTCCAGCACATCACATCGAGGATATAGTACGTCTGCTTTGCCTCATTGTAGATGCAGTCCAAGATGCTGTAAACTGCACACACAGACACAGGGAGTCCAGACATGCTCCACATCCTACCAAAGCCACAGGCAATTGCTAGATCAAGTCTCTCCTGCACTAATCCCTAGCACTGGTGGAAGCCCGAGACATGCAGGGAGGCTCCCTTGTTCTAAATGGAAGTTATGCCCACAAAAAGCTCAGCTTTAGGCACCCAACAAGGACAAGAGCTTCAACTGAAGGCACTTTTTAGCACTGTCTATCCATTGCTAATCCCTCCTCAGGGCAAGCAATGCAACTGCGTGGGATATTAAACAAAGCCATCCTCTTTCTGGGCAAGAAAAGCTACACCCTTTAACTTGAGAAACACCAGGGAGTCACTAGAAAGACACTGTACAGCTCTCTGGGCCCTGCAGTTGAGAGGAAGATGTTGAGGTTTGAGAGCATTTGCCAGCCAGACAACTGATAAAAGTTGTTCTTGTACAGCATAAGGGTTGTCTGTGTGATTAGACATGTCTAGTTATCCCCACAGATTCACAAACAGGCCTAAAGCCAACAGCACCAGGAAAGGGCACAAGCACCAAGCCTGGCATGCAGACAGGCACACACACACACACACACACACACACACACACGTAGAGAACCAGGCCGGTCTCTTCCGCCTGTTTCAGGACCCTCTGCATTACCTTTGTCATTCAGTGAGTTGTGCCGGTTCCCCCCTGGCAGCAGGGACGGGAACCTGTTGACACAGAAGCCGCTCTTGGTGTAAGCTGCTGTTGAGCCCTGCAAGGAAGAAGGGGAGAGAAAGGTCAAGGCCGCTCTTC